CAACTTCCAATGCTGCTTCTCCATCCCTGACTCTACTCTGCACAACAAGCCCCCACCTTATGTCAATAGGCATATGAGGCTACTGCTCTCCCTTGCCTCATCCTCACTGCCTCCCCAATCTTCTCTTCTCTGGGCACCCCTGTTTCCCTTCTGTAGGGGCCATTCCTGCCCTGCCCCATCTCCACTTGGCTAATTCCCCTTGTGGCCCTTCTATTGAACTGTTGTGTTGTCCATTTCCCTGTGACAAGGGCTCTGGTTACAGAGTTATTGATTGGTTTTCATGCAGACAGATGGGCCCTTCCCGGGTTCCCATTGAAATCCCTGGCTGTATGGGCTGATTGTTGCCTCTCCGGGTGTAGGATTGCACTGGAGACCACCCTCCACGCAGTCTCCTTTGCCGGGGCCATGGACGGTAATAAATGGAGGCAGCCTGAGCGATAATAAAAGCAATTGAGTAGGTTACCTGTGCAGACACAAGATTTATGCCTCTTCATATTTGATGTGATTGTTTTATTGAGTTCTCGGAACAGTTGGGACACTATTTATTTACTTATTTAGGGTCTCCCTCTCTCTTTTCTTTTTTGCATCATCCTCCAAAACCCATCTGGGGCTTTTGTTAGGAATAACCCTTCCTGTGTGCCTCTTCTTAAAAGTTGCCAGCTGACATAGAACTCAAGGCGACCAGTCATTGCCCTCAACCAGAAGCGATATTGTAGCCTGAACATCCACAAGCCAGTCAATAGGGAGACAGAACAATACAACTGCTGGCCAAGAAGTCCAGGCCAAAATAACTGAGGAAACAAAATGGGCTTTTCAAGAGTCAACTCCAGCTCAAGTTAAAGAATAGGATGGATAGTCATGCCTGCTTCACATGTTCTAAGGATGGGAGACCTTAACAGCTGAAGACACCCTCTGGGGTGGGCATGGCTTCTTAGAAACTGCTGAGAATAAACTGTTACTTGCGGCCCCAGTGTGCTAAGCCTAGTGCCTCAAAAGCAGGTTCTCTGTCCTTATTTCTCTCACTCCTCTGTGGACAGAAGTTTTTTTTTTTTTTAACTCATTGATCCACTCTGGCTTTTTGCCCTGAGTCCAACAGCACTGACCACCAACAGCTATGAGGATATGGAGATATGGCAGGCAATGCCACCATGCTAAGCCAGAATCAAACATGCAATGTTTTGGAATGTGAGTTTCAGAGAAAGAGAAACAGACCCTAGTCCTGAAGTCATTTTCAACATTTCAGGTCCTAGAATGACTAACTCCCAGCTTACTTGAAAGGACAACTGGTAGACCACTGTCACCCCTACTGCCAGACCTTTTATAAAGACCTGAGAATGACACAGTGGTGTTAGGAGGGATCAGAAAACACCTGAATGACAGACTAGAATTTTTTAACACGTGTGCTGGGGCTATCACCTTGTTGCAGCCAGCGTTGCACAGCTAGAAGGAATGTGCTTATTTTGAACCAAATAAGCTAAGGGAGAGCACCAGTGGTTGGTGGGCAGTAAAGAGCAGACTCTGGAAAGGTCCACTCCAAAAAATGTAGGGGTGAGGAGTCACTGGTTCCAAAGAGTGTAGGACAGCCTCAAAAAGTTAGAAAGTGGTGCCCTTATTGTCATTTCACTCCAAGAATGCACCCTCAGGGGATCTCCAGTAACCCTAGACTTTATCTAGAGTTCATGCTATTCTTTCAAAGGAGCTGTATTCCCTGCCCAGAGCAATAGCCAAACCGGAAGACTCTGGCACATAATCAGGGAAATCCTCTCCACCTAGTCAATTGCTCAGCCATGTAACTTAGTGACTTTCCCCCCCTTTAGTAGCAAGGATCTTCCTCCATTTCTCCCTGCTCCAGGCAATTTCCCATGCCAGGTTTCAATCCAAAGTCACCTGGTTATAAACACCAGCCCTCCACAGCAGTGGCGTACAAGCTGAAGAGCTGGCAATTCTGTGTCAGCGATCAGTAACCCAATATTAAGAATGATTTGGATAAATTCCATGTGTTAAGTGACCCAGTCAACTTGAGGTTTTGGACAGTGGTCTCTGGGAGTACAGAGGCCTCCCTGGCACACTCCTTTGGCCCAAAAAGGCAATTCCAAGAGGATTTGCTGATGGAGAATGGAGATTGGACACTAAGCCTTTATCGCGACAGGATCAGAGAATGCCAAAACCATTTTTAAACACAAAAAGCAATTTAATTTATAGCCATAACAGCATATTTCAAGTGCGGCGACAGCATCTGTTTTGGGGAGGAGAAGGTGAAAAACCTTTGGCTCAGGTGGGTGAGCATGTGTGAACTTCTTTTCTTGCCAATGCTGGCTCCTGTCACCCTTACTCAAAACTGTTTTAAAGGACCTAACACAAGTGGACAACTCTCCAACAATAAATCTCTGAACTTAAAACTCCCCATTTTCCAATGCACTAGTCTCTGCACAGAGGAAAATCTCTATGTTCTTCCTACAGAGACAGAATTCTCAGAATTGAGAAAGAGCTAAGTTTAAAACAACAACAACAACAACAACAACAAAAACCAAAAAAGCACCAACAGAAACATCCTGTCATTATCAAGTGTTAGGGTGAAGCACATCTCAAATAAATAGTCTCCTTAAGAGCAGAGCACATACCAGAAGGATGCTAAGGATGGGGTACCCAGATGTATCCCAGAAGCTCTCAGAATTCTTTCCAAAATATGAACTGTAGGAGAATTCTGCCCAAAGCAAAATCAAGAACAACCTGACTGCTTCTTGTTGACAAAAGAAGCCAGGAAGCCTAATTTTATACCCAGGGCTTGCCACCGTGCTACCAGTGGCTTCCCCATTCCTTCCTCATATTCCCTCTCAATCTCCAGCAAAACCTAGCTATTTCTCTGCACCCAAGGAAGCCTCTATGCCCCTCTGGTGATAGGGCCCTTTGCTGGGTAGTTTCTGAGGATGTCAGAGATGTCATGTGAGGCCATGCATCTCACAGATGGCTCGCTTGTCTACTTTTTCCCCTAGTTCTGGTGAGTGTACCTCAGGGTCTCCGGAGCTTGATTCTCAGGTCACCTGTTGCCTACAATCTATGGCTTTTGAGGATGAAACATCCCACACTTGTGCCTAAGCCAGCTTCCAAAAACATCTTTTGTGTTAGATAGGGCTGCCACCACAACTGCTTTGTTGTTCCACTCCTCCATGCCACACAAGGAAACGAATCACCTTAATTATACACATCTTGGGTTCTTCCAAATGCTTGAAAATCCCATCACTGACAACAAGCATTTCTCTGAAATATTACCCAGATGTCACCACCTAGTCCAGCAACGCAGGTCCTCTACTGGGTCACTCTTGGCTCCAGCTGCTCTCCTCCTAAGACCTCAGTTCCAACTCACTGTCAGGGCCAGTAGCCAGCTGAGACAGTCTCCGATGGCTCAGAAAACAATGCTTTGTCCCCTTTCTTTCCCTAACCAGCACTCTTGCCTCAGCCCTCAGCTTCCTTAGCCTCCTCCTGACTTTCAAATGCAAAGGACTTATTCCTCTCCCAAACCACCCAGCCTTTTTCTCCAGCTTCTTTGGAAGGTATCTGAATGTCAAACCATCATATTTTCAATACCTGGCTGAGCCAGACCCAGAGAGCTGGAGGGTTTCAGAGGGTGTATAATTAGCTTATCAGTATTATGTTACCCTGTTCATAACTGAATAACCATTTTAATACAGATGGCACACACTGGGATAATTTCTGGGGTCGCCTTGCAGTACGTTACAGCACGAGTGTGGCAGAGGGAATCTTCTTTAGCCAAGGTACATTCTACCAGCTAATTCTACCTGCTGTTTTCATGATGATTTGGGATAATTCCATATCATTTGCAAAATATTTTAATAAAAACCCTGTGATTGGTGATGCCAGTTTCAGAAAAAGGCACCATCTGAATTATTAGTCGTCTTGATAGTAAGCCTTTAAAAGAATGCAAAGAATAATGGGGTGTGGAATTCTTAGCCCTCTTCTCTTTTGGGGAGAACCTTAAAATGGAGGTCCAAGGCTATCTGAAACTTACTTCTGACTGGTGAATGACTTGTGCAGGATCTCTGTGTATAACTGTCAGGTTGTACAGTTGCACAACGGTGAAGCCGTCCTGGGGTTCCTAAGCCCAACTGCTGCTTGTGTGTTCTGCAGCCACCCAAGAAAGGCATGCTGACATACTGGCTGTGATATATATGCATGCAGCATGCCCATGTGTTCTCCCAGAGAACACACTGAAGGAGTTTGGGGATTAGAATTCTAACTATCTTACATGTTAAGCTTACTCTGGCTTGTGTCATCCCTACTCTTGAAGCTGTCATCAGTGCAAAGACTTCATCCTGGAGATATGTACCCTAGGTGGTTGGGGCATCTCCCAAGCTTCAGTCTCAAGGTCTGATTTCTCCCTCCCTGCGTGGCATCCTACTCCTTGTCCAGATCCTCAATCCTGCCAATAACTGTCTGGTGGTTGGCATTTGCTCTGCAGACCTGGATGCCAGTACTTCTAGGCCGGAAATTTGTGCAGAGCTTGCTAGCAAAACCTGGGCTCTTGGGAGGCAAGCTTTGTGGGAGTTGGCTAAGAGGGCAGGGGAGCCAGGACTGGTGGCTGCCCCTGGGGAAGAGCGCATGCCTTTAGAAAGGGAATTCTGTTTGAAGGCAATGAATAGACACTGGTCATTTTAAAGGCTTTGCTATGGGCTGTGATTGTCTCTAGATCCCGAGGCGCATAATCTTGGAGTCTTAATTACCACAAACACTTGGATTCATTTCCAGGACGCAGGCAGGAGAAGCCTGGCAGGGAATACCCAGCTCTGAACTGGAGACAAGCCTGTCTGTTTGTCTATCTCTCTGTCTCCCAAGAATCCTCTCCCTACTCAAAGGACTTCAAGCTGGGAGCTGGAAGACAGGGTGGAGGCTGGACAGACAGCAGAGATCTCGTTCAGGGAGACACCCCAGAAGGCAAGAACTGGGAACTGGAGTCCCATCTGCAGACCAGGGAGCTTGCTCACCTGTTGATGGAAGAGACGCTGGGCACTGTGTCGTTGTCGCAGATGCCCTCAGCCAGGAGCCGGTCTCGGATCTCCCAGGCGAACATAGTCGGGTTCTGTCGCTTGTATTCAGCAATCTTGTCCACCACTTTGGGCGTTGCCACCTTGGGCTTGGAACCACCGATCACACCAGGCTTGATGCTGCCAGTCTCGTAGTACCTGCGCCGGGAAGGCCGGCGGGGTCAGCAAGAAGCAGGGTGGTAGCAGGGGCAGGGGGGCTGCAGGCTCTGAAGCCGCTGAGCCACTCTCCCGCCTGAGGCAGCAGCTTGGAGGGAAATGGACCACTGTGGCTGAGTGGAGACTTCCAGAGGAAACTTGGCTAGTGTGAGAAATGCTGCAGAGGCAGAGGACTAAGGAATGCTCTCTCCTAGGAGACAGCCACACCAGGAACAGGGTGCATATTGGTCAGAATAAGCACCCGGGGGAGTGAAAGCCCAGCTTTTCACTTGGGAAGAGCAAGCCAGGAGAGGCCTCAGGTAAAGCCAGGGCTGAGGCACCACCTCCAGCCCTTTCCTACTGAGCACAATGCCCTGTGGGAACCAGGACCCTCCTGCCTCCCGAATGCTGTCTTTTCTCCTCTTGGGGACCCATTTTGCTCCCCACCCCATTCCTCCAACGTCTTTCACATTAACTGGCTGGGAAAAGTGTCCCTCCCTTTCTGAAGCCACAAATGGAGCTGCCTCCCCTTGGAGGGTCCTGAAGCAGGGCAGGCACTGGGTTGACTCTGCTCCACTCTTCCTCCTGGGGCTGGGCCACCACTTGATTTCCCTTTCCAAATGAAGCAGCTCTTTAGATCCCTTCTAGCTGGGGGTCTCCCTCTCCTGCTTGGCGTCCTCCACTTTTAACCAAGTCCTAGGGCCAGGGAAGGAGGAGATGGTCTCCAGGGATAGCTCCGGCCCTCACCTGCCCAGGATTTTGCTGACACAGCCGTGGCTGACCCGCAGCTGCCGGGAGATGTCACAAGGCCGCACACCCTGGTGGGCCAGCTCCACGATGCGCTGCCTCACCACGTCGGGTAGGGGCCGGCCGTTCACAAACACCCCCCCGAGCTGGTTCACACCCCCGTGCCCTGCTGGGGAGAGACAAGAAAAAAACACAACACCCCACACACAGCAGGGACCAGCCATTAGTCAGGGTCCGCGGCCCCAGACTTGCGAAAGGAGCAGGTAGGTCTGTGGGGCATATTCCTGAACTCGAGAAGGAAGGGGCGGGGCGGGGGGACTGACCACAAAGCGGAGGATTAGGGGTTGGAACTCCAGGGGCCCTAGAGACGAAAGCGCAGACGTTGGACAGAGGGCTGGGCAGAACGCGACTCTCAGACCAGGTCGACGCGAGGGAGAAAGTGAGGGAAGGAATGGAGAAGTCAGGAAAGAGAAAAGAGGGGAAGAAGGAGAAATACGGTAAAAAGGGATTAATGCCAGTTGGGAACAAATACAGGACAGTGAGGAGATGAAGTGCCTGGGAAGACGGAACTAGCTGGAGAGGGATCCCGCCTGCGCCGCATGCAAGGGGCAGATTCAGTGCGTGCGAGGGCTTGGAGGCGGATGGGAGATCCGGGTCCGCTCAGCCGAACCCCAAGCATAGAGAGGGACACACACACACACACACACACACACACACACACACACACACACACCTTTGCTCTCTACCTCTTCCTTTGTATTTATTTTCAATCGGGATTGCACTACCTCTTTCCCTGTGCTTTTTGTTTGGTTTGTTTTTGACAGGGAGTTTTTCTTCCCTTTATGTTTTCTATCTTTAGATATTTGGGAGAAAATCTACCTTCTCATCTCCCTAGTGTCTAAAGCGGAACGAAAACCAGCTGAAGAGGGGAGGGTGGAAGAGACAGGGGTCGGGGATCTGATCCTGTCAAAGACAAGACGATGGCCTGAGAGCTGCCTGAGAGCTGCGCGGTTCCCCGCTGCAGCCGAGAACACAGGCTGTTTGGGTTCGCCTGTCAGTCCCTAACTGCTTCGGGCTTGGTGCAAACCATTTCACCCAGGTCTCACAACACAGGCTGCCCTATCGGCTTAGGACTCACCCGGCACCCTTTATAGCCAGCCCAAGCCAGTACCAGTCCCTCTGACCTCTTAGAGCCCAGCTGCCCAGAGAGCCCAGGGAACCCAGCAACAAGAGCATTTGCTCTTCTGGCCAAAAGGAGGATTCTGGGTTTCCAGTCCTACTAGCTGGGTTTCCAATACAAGAGGCAAGGTGGTCACCGGGTGCCAGACTTGAGGGTTCTGCCCCCGTGCCCCATTCTCCCTGGCCTACCGCAGACTAGAAATCCTGCACCCAGAGCGATCAACCTGCAGCGGCATTTAGCAAGCAATCCAAGCTCAGAGACTTGTAGCAGCTTAGGCCAGACTGGGCCAGCAACCTGCAACCCCTGCCATGCTGGCCTCAAGCGAGTTCGGAAAAAGCGGGGGACATCTTGTGCTCCCTTTGCTTTTTTCTCCCGTCCCCTTCTGGGAAACCAAAAGAAATCGGGTGAAATACCTGGGAAGAGGCCTCTGATTAGGTGGCTCTTGGGAGGCCAGAACCTCTTATTTTGCCCCCATCCCTGTATCTCCCTATCTCTAGTCCCACTCCTCACCCCTCCCCTCCTTCCAAACCCCAACCATCAATAATTTAGGCCCCGGGAGAACTCGCGTTACCAGCATGAAAAGGCGGCAGCTGCGGGCAGATTAAAGATGAATAATTCAGCCTCCCCGGGCTCCGGGCCTGGCCCCTCAGCCCCAATTTAAAGGGTGGAGATGGGAAGGGGGCACGGCAGAAGTCCGGGCCGGTGGTCGACCGGAGGCCGGAGGTCTGCCGGGCTGGCGCTGAGTCAGGCCTGGAATGCGCCACTGCCGGCGGTGCCGACCCGGACTGTAGCTGCTGGCCCGCGAGTCAGCCAGCCCGCCGGCTGCGCGGCGACTCTCTCCTTTCTTCCGACCACCTTCCGCTGTCCTTGCTCCCTTTTGGGTTTCAAAGTGGCTCTCAGTGCGCGGCCCAGGCGCAATCTTCCAGAGAAGAGAGCCAAAGCAGTGGCAGCCGGCTGCGAGACAGGCGGGCTGGGTGAAGACAGCGTGAGGACCTGATTCCACTCCCGAAGAGGAGCAAGGCTTTCCGGCCGGGCTTGCAGCGAAAAGCAACTGCCTGAAACCCTCGGCTTGGGTTTCCTGTACTCGGAAATTATTTAGGGAAATATATTTTATCCCAGGAGTAGTTTTTAAAGATCCCCCCCCCCCTCCAAAGCTAAATATATGCCTAGAGAAACACAGCTCTTTCTTCTTGGCTTTCTTGTCTTAAGCACAGAGGTAAGCCAGGTCTAAAAAGTTTCCTTGTGAAAAGTTGCAAATTATCTTTATTAATTTACAGATGGGGAGGGGTTTTCTACTTAGAATCTTATTTATCTTTTTATTTTAAATGTCTGCTTAAATATCTCATGGTTTTCCAAGCTAAAAACATAATATGAATTAGATAAATTTAAATTTCATTAAAACAATTCTTTTTCCTGTTTCTTTTCTCCTTTTCTCTTTTTTTTCTGTATCATCCTTTTAATTTTCTGTCTTTGATTTCCTTTCCCTTGTTTTGACTTCTCTTTCATTTCCCCCCAGTTTTGGGGATTTGTCTTCCTTTTGTTCTTTCCCCCTCATTTTTCCTTCTTTGCTGACCCCCTACCCAGGACACTGACTGCAAGATCCTTAACAGGGAGTGGGAGGCAGGCAAGAAGGCTTCAGAACTGAGCAGAGCTGCACCCTGCCCAGGGGCCAGCTTGGAAGGCTGCCCTGCTTGCTCTCTTCTTGACTTCAATTTCTCCTCTAACCCCTTTTTGTTTTAGAACATCTCCCAGGGCAGAGGTAGGGAAAGACAATGACCACGTCCTGCCAACCTTGGATTCTCAACTCAAAGGGAAAGGAATGGAAAGGAGATGGAAGGGAAATGGGAAAGAGAGAGGAAGGAAATATTTCAAACCAGCCCAGGAGAAGCTTTACTAGGCTGGAAGGGCCAAAAAGATGCTGAAAGTGGAGGGTCAGAAGGGGGCACCCCACCCCCACTCTCTTCTGACCAACTGTCCTAACACTCAGGTTGTCCAAGCTAGAAGTCTCCTCCCTGACACCCACAACTCCAAGTATGAGAAAGGTAGAGATGAGGGAGGGAGGAGAAGAAGACAAACTGAGAGAGGGTGAGAGAGTGAGAGAAAACAGAGAGGGAGAAAAACCACAACACCCTAAAAACTGCCTGTCAATTAGTCCTCCAGTCTAGGGCAAGAGGCTGACTAGGGAGCTGGAACCCCCGCCCAGGGCTGTGGGTCCCACGACCTAAGAAGGAGCAGGTGGAAGGAGCAAAGGCAGGTGATGAGTACCAGGGAAGGTAGGAAGGCAGGCAGAGGAATAAGTGTGGGTTACAGAAGGAAGAAGGGAGAGAAGCTAAAGGCGTTAGAAACACCAGGCAAAGGAAAAGAGGTAGAACGAAAAAAGAGAAAGGGAAAAGCCAGCGTGGCCTCCGAGATGGGACCTGAGTGCAGGGGCCGGGCTGCGTTGGGATTAGACAGGGTTGGAACCCGAGCAGAAGCCGGGCGCCGGTACTCACGGTGCATCGCGGAGAAGGGGTCTGCTTTGCAGTGCATATCCATGGGGAGGCAGAGGAGCGGGAGCAGCGCGGCCGCCGCCGCCGTGTCGCCTCGCAAACTCAACTTCAGGACTTGAGGAGAAAAGGGAGGGACGGTGAAGGAGGGAGGGTGAGCGGGCGCCCGGCAGCTGTGGGGCGCGCGGGGGCGGGGGCCGCTGCGCTGAGCTCCCCGCCGGGACTCCTCAGGGCCAGCGGGGGCTTGCAACCGCAGTGGCCGCAACTTCCCACCGTCGGGGCGCGGGACTGGACGATCAGCAGAGCGGCCCCGGGGAAATGGGCCGGGCCAGGGGGCACCGGGGGCGCATTGCTCGCGCAGCAGCTGCTGCCAGGTCTGAGGCCGGGCCGGGGAGGCGGTTAGCTCCGCTCCCCTGGAACCCGGTCATCCGCGAGGCGTTGGTCGGAGAGGGCGTGGGGCGGGGGGCGGCCCGAGGGCGCCGGGATGGGAGCTGGGCTGCTCCAAGTGCCGGCGAGTTGGCGAAGTTGGCAGAGAAGTAGCAATCCCCGGGATGTCCGAGCGGGCGCCCGCGGGAGGGGAGCGCGCGAGCGGGCCCCCGCCCCCGGAATAGGCAGGCGCACGCCGCCGCGGCCGAAGGGCCGGGAGGGAGGGAGGGAGGTAAGCGGCGCCGGCAGCGCTGGGCTGGCCCCAGGTGGGTTGCGGCTTCGAGAAGACTCGGCCGGAGACTGGAGCCTCGGCTCTCGGTGTGTGTCTCTCTAAAAGCTGCAAAGCCCCCTCCAGACCCCCTCCCCCTCCCCGTGCCGGGAGATGGATGACTTGTCAGACAAAGGCAATAGATTCCACCACTCTGTGATTCGCCAGCGCCAGAGCCCCGAGCTTCGGCGAGGAGGGCCCCGCGCCTGTCACTCCGGTGCCGGCGAGGGGAGGGTAGGGGAGGGGGAAAGGGGGGGGGAGGGAACCGCGGGCGAAGGAAGAGGGAGGGAGGGGAGCGGGCCAGGGGGAGGAGGAATGGGAGCCCAGGATTAAAACTACACTGAGAAACGAAACTCGCCGATAAGGTAAACGTTAGATAAGGATAAAGAGCGGCCAGTCTAATGAATATTCAGGCAACCACGGAGGACGGCGGAGTGCGCCGCACTCAGAAGCCGGGCTTTCAGTCCCAATTCGCCCAGCCTTGCCATCCACCACCGGCCAGTGCCCGCATAAGCCACGCGGCCCGGGTCGGTCCTTGTCCCTAGCACTAACCCCACTACCCTCAGCTCTGAGTTCCCTTCCGTTCCGTCCTGACTCTTCCTTCCTCTTTCTCTGGTCCTTCCCTTTCCTTTTCCCTCCAGAGGTACCTTGCCATTCACGCACCATCACCATTCTCATTCTGGGGCAAAGTGCCCAGCAGTTTGTCCTCTCCTGTCCCACACACAGTTGCGGACACTGCCTCCCGCATCCCCTCGCCCACCCGGGTCTGGGCAGTACAGAAAACTTGCTTTAGAATCGAGCTGGAGATCTCCGGCCTGAACCCACCTGCTTTGGTGGGACCCAATGGATGATAGGAAAGCCCGGGGACCTGGCTCCTGGACCCTCGGTAACCGGGAGGAGATTGGGTAGAAACACTGCGGAGTGTCTGTTCGCTGGCGGCAGAGGATGCGGGAGACCAAAGCTCGCTCTTCCCGGCTGGGGAGAAGAGGCGACTGCTAACGCGGGGGAGCGCCGCCCGCTGCCAGCTCTGCGGATCCGAGCTAGCGCAGGAGGCGCAGCACGCCGGCCCTGGCCCCACTTCTACCGGAGCCGCTGGCCCGGACTCCGCAGCCTTCGCCAGCACTCGCTCCCTTGCTCGCTGGGGTCCGCTCTCACGCACTAGGCAGGAGAAGCCCTTTGTCTCCTAACTGGTTAAGTACAGAATATCCGGGAGATCTTTATGAAATATTTTCCCTCGTCTCATAAATCATCTTGGCACTTCAGCTGATGTTTTAACTCTCTCTCCCTCCTTCACTCCCTCCCCCCGCTTCCCTGGGTCTGCGAAAGGGCGGCTCCACGAAGCCCGCGCCGTGCTGCGCTCTCGCCGCCTGGATTTAAGGTTCCTCCGGCCGGTCTGCAGCCTCGGGCGCTTGGGGGAAAGGCCAAAGACTCGTGCCCCTGTCTCTTTGGCTGAAGCCTGGGCGGCAGATAGTATCCGGGTCCGCACCTGCCTGACTCAGCCCAACTTAGCCTGACTCCAGCTGGACGTCTGGAACTCTGGTTTTCAGGACGCCCTTACTCCTCTGGTGGGTCTCAGGCCAAGCTCTGCCGCATGAGGTTCTGAGACTCTCACTCCTTAGAGGCCTGGGTCTGCTGGGATCCTGGTATTTGCCCTCCCTCCTGGATTGTTCTGAGACCAATTCGCTTAATTCATCTGCGGAGTAACTTCTAGAAGATAAAAAAAAAAAATTCCTCTCCATCTGCTCCCCCCCAGCCCCTGCCCCCACTTCCCTTGGGCGGCGAAGCAGGTTCCCTTGGGCAGGAGGTTGAAGGCGCAGGGTCCAGCCCCGAAGGTCAGTCTCTTCTTCTCAAGGCCTGCAGATGGCGCTCCCGGGTTTCCTTTGGCCTCAGAACCCCACGAACACGCACTAACTCCGTGTGGATAGCGAAAAAGAAAAACAGCTAAACCAAACAGCTCCCAGACCAGGAGCAAGAGACTCTCAGGTGGTATTAGCTGGTACAGACTTGAGCTTCTTTCAGGGGGGTAATTAACCCAGAATTGGAGGTGGGGAGGATTGAAGAAGGGTCCTTATTGAGAAGGGCTCAGAACTAAAGGAGCTCTTGCCCCAGGTCTCCATATATTGGTTATCACAGGAGTTAAGTTTTGAGAAGTCTGAACTATTGGAAGAACAAGACTATGGGTAGACTCCCTCTTTCCACACAGATTCAGATTTTTCTAGAACCCAATAGGTACCTCAATGTTACACATACTATAAAGTGTGGGTGTAGATAACAGGCATTTTCATATATTGGGAGAGAGGGATTTTCATATTTTGTGAAAATCCACAAAGTGCACTGGAAGTTGTACTCATACGTCTGTCCTCTCAGGAAGGAAGCCCCTTCCATGATAGTCCAAGTCCCAAATAGCCCCTGAGAGCCTTGGTATCTCCCCTGCTTCCTGGACACTCTTCCCAGCACTGCACTAGCCAGACATTCACCCTATTGCAGGACCAGTCCCTGGCCGCTTCATCCTTAGCTCCAGCCCATTTCTGGGCTAGAAAGTCAAAGAGCAATGATCCCTGGTGATTTAGAAGCCCTGTTAGCCAAGGCTCTGCTTTCTCCTAGGCCTCCAGGATGAAGGGTTGGCCTGCAGATTCCTCTCCAGTCACTGGCCTCTCACTCTAACTCCCCCTTTCCTGTTCTTCTTTTTCTTCTTCTATAGAGGCTAGTAGAGGGGGAAAAAGTAAGAAAAGAAAAAAGGAAGAAGAGGAAAGGGGGAAAGAAAGAAAACAACCCAACCCCAAACACAACTTGGGCTCCGACCTGTCAGGGTTGGTTGCTTTTCCCGTCTGCCTCTAAATGAACCTTTTCTCTCTGGTGTTTTCAAAGCGGCCCTTCCACCCCCCAACCTAGGGGCATTTACACTTCAAACAAGGCGCCCGCCTCCCTGCGGAAATTTAAAGGCAAATAAACTTTTGGGGAGTTGCTCTGATACCCATCTCGGGATTTGCTTCATTAGCCGCCTCTATGCATCTGATCTGACCAATAAATCTTCCTTGTGGATCTCGGCTCCTTCGCCTTCTCCGCTCCCTTTCCTGCCAGGCTTGCCTGACGCCTGGCGGCCCCCGCTCTTGCCTCCTCCCTCTCAGCTAAGCTAGGGTCAGCCTGGTTCTGTGGCAGGGCCTTGCCTGCTCTGCTTGGGTGCAGGTGTCCCAGAGGCGCTGGTCCGGGATATGCATCCCACCTCTAGTGTACCTAAGCCAAGCGTGACTTACCCGCCCCAAGCTCTTAAACATGTTTCTGAGTAGATTGTGCAGAATAGTGAAGTGCCGGTGTAGACCCCTTGGCTGTTCCCGCTCGCACCGGCTCCTTTCGTGGACACTTCTCTTTTACTGGTTTCCCATTCCCAGGCCCAAAGCTTACTGCCTGGGCGAGAAAAGGCAGAGGCATTGGCTGCCTTCCTCTGCCGGCAGGGCGCTGACCCGGGGCCCAGGAGCCCGGCCTCAAGCAGTTCAGTAAGGCTGCTGAGCCGCGGGGGGCTTGGCGGGGGCCTTGGGCTGCAATGGGAGCAACCCAGCGGCGCCCCTCCCCCGTGGCTTGGCCTGCCTTCCTCCTCCCACCTCCCGGGGAGCAGCACCGGGAGCTAAGGCCCGGGCTCTGAGGGAGGGGATTAGAAATTCCGAAATTAAATGTATCTCCCCAGGATATGCTCCCCACAGCGCGGACCAAATTAAACGCATTAAAGTTCAGGGGGGGAAAAGCTGTTTAGAATCAAAGGGGAAAAAACTAGTCCGAAGGGAAGAGAAGCAGAACCCGAGGAGGGAAGAGACCAGGGTAGAGCAGAGCAGCTGCTCCGCAGCCGAGCTCCTTTCCTGAACTATTCCCAGTTTGGTAAGTCACCGCCACAACTACCAAAAAAAAAAAAAAAAAAAAAAGAAAGAAAGAAAAGAAAAAGTTCTTCTGACAAACTCCGGTACTGGCACCTTCGGCCCACTTGCCCTTAGCGTCCCGCCGCAGTCCGAGCGCATACCCTTGGCGGCCAGATCCCAGGCAGCCGCTGCAAGCACCCCGGCCCCCTCTCCAGCTCGGCCTGACCAGCTCCCGCCCGGCCCTTTCCCTCCTCCTCCCCATTCTCTCCCCGCCCCTCCCCCTGCCTAGCCCTCTGGTCACGTTGGAGGATGGTTTTTTTTTTTTTTTTTTTTTTTTTTTTTGGAAGAGCTTCTGGTACAATATGGAGCACCATGGGCTGCAATTTCACACTCCACAGCACATTCCCCCTAAAGCTACTTTCTTCTTTTTTTTTTTTTTTCATCTAAGACCCCCTAATTTCTGCTTCCTCGCTCTCTCCCTTGCTCCCTCCCTCCTGCTCTTACTCTTCTTTTCCCGCTTTTGTTCCCAATATTTGGGCACCCCACGTGAAGCCCGGGGGGCCTGACTCCCGCCTGGCCCCGCCCGTCGGGACAGTTGGTCCTGTTGAGGCCGCGCGCACGTGCTGGGCTTTTATCCTCCCTAGCCCCTCCCCCTCTAACCCCGCTTCCCCTCACTAGAGGTCCCAGCGATCCGCCCGACCCTTCGCAGTCCCTTTGAGGGGCAACGACAATGCAAGCCACTTGGCCACCAAAGCGGCCTCTTAGCGGCACGGGTCAGCCAGGTGGCTGCCGCCTGAGGGTCACTGGACAAGGAGGCTGAAAAATAGTGAATCCAAGAGAAATCTGGCCAGCAGGGAGGGTAGGAGAGGAGGGCCCACATCAAAGAACTAGATAGATGTGTGTGTGTGTCTGTGTGTGTGTGTGTGTGTGTGATGTGTCAGAGAAATCCTAGTCCTCCTGGCTCAGACCTGACACCGCCTGTCCCCCCTCCCCAGACACGCATGGACCTCCGTACAGCTAAAGGGATCACTCATTCCACAGCCTACAGGAAGGACCAGCTGCCACTACAGGCATAGTCCCTTTTCTTCTTTATGCCTCAGTTGTTTCACCTGTAAAATGGGGATACTTGTCTACTCTATGGAGTTAACCAAAAGGCATTTTGAAAAACAAACATTTCTATAGTAGATTAAGGAACAGCTTTTTGAATCCTTGGCCTTCCACAAAAAGGAAAAGGAAGGACCTGAGAGGGGTGTCTTCCATTGAATTCCAATTCTGTAAAGCTTTCTGGGGATTCTTGCTGCAGACCTTTTCTGTGTTCTTCTCTTTTGGATCTTCCCTCTTTTCCTTTTGACTATACCCCATCCAGGTTTATCACTCTGCTCTATCCTTCTTGCCACTCCTTGGTTCCCACTTCCTACCCCCCTCTACCAGCAGCTGGAGGATCAGTTAAATTCCTCACACACACACACACCCAAAAGCCAAGTTAATTGCGGCCTGAGGCGCGGTCCCCTTCGGCCAGTCCTCCAAAATCTCTGGGAGGAGCTGGGCCATTGACGGAAATCCCGTTGGGTCTGGTTGCAAACAAAGAGAGTTGGTCCTCCCAGGACTTGAAGTCAACTTGCCAAACCCACAGCGGAGATGAGATGATGCGGAGAGGCCTGTCTGATGGGGGAGAGATAACGGCTGGAGAGAGGAGGAGGAGAAAGAGGATGTGAAAGGGACAGGGACGCTAAGGGAACTGAGAAGGCACCTGTATCCGAAAGGCCTGAAGAGGCTGCTTTGGGCAAAGCCAAAGTCCCCACCGAGCCAGCTCCCCTCCCCTCCCGGAGCTAGGGTGAGAAAGTCCGACCCAGGCTGAGTGTTGGTGGAGAAGTAATGATTAACCTTCCTCTCAACCGGGCCGAGCCAGCGGCCTGACTCGGCCGCGGTCGAGGGATGTAGTGAGGGCGGATCCGAGGCGACCCTAGCGCTATCAGCCACTGCCACTGCAGCGGTGGGGACTGCGGAGGGAGGGGACAGACAGCATCAAGAGGCAGCCAAAAGGGATCGGAGTGCAAGGCAAAGGGATCGCAACTGCGGGTGTCAGGAAACCAGGGAAAGCGAAATAGCCACAGACGGTACGCAGGGAAAGTAAAGGCCAAATGCGGGCCTGGGCGCGCGGCTGGGCAGCGCTGAGGAATAGTTGGAGAGGGGCGGGAGCACCCGGGCCGAGTTTCCCCGGAGTTGGGAGCAGACACCAAATCTACCGTCTCGGATCCATCCGCAGCGCGCGCTCCCCCCCTTCCTCCTCTCCCAGCTGCTGTGTGGATGCGAGGAGCAGGCGGTGCGCGTGCCAGAGCCGGGAGCGGGCAAGGCAGGGGGAGACCCGCCTGCGAGACAGGGAGGCCGGCCGAAGAGCAGGGCCGCCCAGGCGAGGACAGGCTGCAAGGTGGCTGGAAACAAAGGACCGGAGCGAAGGGGAGAGGGGACACCGAGTCAAGAGGGGCTGGCTGAAACAGGGAGAGGCCCAAGGAAAGGGGGTCTCTCAGGGGACCCGCCAAGGTTTGTATATTCCTGCCTTCTCTCACGTCCAGCCTAGAGCCAGGACGCCCTGGGGGTTCTTGGCTCGCCGTTTGTGGCCTGGGGTTGGGCTGGGGGTGTTGCTGCAGCTGTGGGGGCCGTGTAAGTGTGCATGCGTGTGTGAGCGCGAGTGTGTGTGTTCGCACGCGACGCTTTGGGCAGGCGAGGGAAGGGATAAGGAGGGGAGGGCCTTCGCTGTAGGGTTAGACCCCTGCCCCAGGCGACTGCAACTCTCTGCCCTCCACCCTCCGGCGGGCCAGAGATTCCCCGCACTTGAAACAAAAGGCCTGAACCGAATCATTCAGGAGACAGGGCAAGATCTCTTTATGGAAAAAAAGAAAAAAAAAAGTGCCTTGATTTGAGATTTTAAGGGTTACCTGCATCCAGAATTATCGCTTAACTTTCTGTAACTGTTCCTAGAAAAGAAAAGGTGCGACATAAATCTGGGATAGTAGGTCCAGGCCCGGTAGTTTGTCCTGCCACGTCTAGACCTGCGGTAGGGTCTAGACCCGCGGCTAACGAATATGTTGAAGAAACTGACTAGTGGAGGAATACCCTTGCAATTTCTAAATCAATTAAAGAGAATTTCTTAAGTGTCTGCTTGGAGGCAGCGCATCTTTTGGTGAGGGGATGGTGTGAGTGTGTGTTTAAGTGTTGAGGGTGCATAAAAAGTATGTGAGGGGGGTGGCCAAGGGTGTTTAGGCAAACAGCAGTGTTCCAGGCGGGGCTGAGCTGGGAGCCAGGCCCCGCATCCAGCACCTCCCCCTCCTCTCTCTGCCCTCAGCCGAGGCTGCTCGGAGGCCAAGGCCTCCTCAGCCTCTTCCAGCGGGGCCGCCAATCAATCCTGCAGGTCAACACAGCAATTAATAACGGGGTGAGGAGGCCTGGCAAAAGAGGGCGGGAGGCGTCAGGCTGTGTCTCCCCCAGGCTCTGAGGACCCGGCAGCGGGACCAGGGAGAGGGAGGGGTCTCCGAGGGTAGAAAGAAGCCTGGGAAGTCAGCTTGAGTCATGGAGTGGGTTCAGAACCCCAGGAGGGAGAGACAGAGGAACAGCGCCGGGGAGCCAGGGAACCAGAGAGCCACTAGGACAGATCAGCGGAGAAAAAGGGAGGACATAAATAAACGTCTTATTTTTATGGTTCTGGGGGTACAGGCTACACTATCTGAAGACCACAATTGACCTAGTTACTGAATCTCTCCCCTTTCCCCTTCCTTCACCCTTTCCTGATGGTTTTCGCTGCTTAGAAACAGGCTCAGCGAGACCAAATAAAACCCGCATCCTTCGCAAACCCGGTTGCGGCGGTTGCGCCTGGGAGTCCGGCAGGCAGGTTGGTTAGTGCGTGTCTGTCACTGTCATTTTGAACTCATGGGGAGGGACCAAAAAGGGCACAGGGCCAGTCCAGGGGACAGGGCCCCCAGGGAGTGGTACCCCGGCCAGACGCGGCTCTGGTAAAGAACAGGGAAAGGGAGCGGGAGCAGTGAAGAGAGAAAGAAGGCGGCGAAGGGGCGAGGGCTGAAGACTCTGCGGCTCGGCTGGTGGGGTGCGCCTTGACCGGAGGGGAGAGTTCCTCCTCTCCAACACCGCCCTGCCTCCGGCCTGGCTCCGCGGCTCCTCCCCGCCCTTGCCTAGCTGCGCCTGCCAGAAGTGGGAGCCCTGCTTGGGGAAAGGAGGGAAGGGAACCGGAGTCTGGTATGCAGGCTTGTCCTACGGTCGGGAACCGATAGGCACAGGTTCCCCGGGCATGCGGAAAACGCCCTGGGCTCTTCTAAAGTATCCCGGGTAATTGGGGATGAGGACCCTGACACGTGCACAAGGATGTCCCCCGTGCTCTGCCTCCTTCTTCCTGAGAGTGGGGAGGGGGACTCCACACAACTGCTGGAAGACTTGCTGAGACTGGGAACCCACTCCATGCACCTCAGGCCTGCCTAGAGGGAAAATAGAAACGTGGTAGTTCCAGGAGTCTAAGCAAACCGGACAGAGGAAAGGGCATCAGAAGGCAAAAAATATTCTGACAGAAGAAGAGAGAAGCCCTGGACAGGAAAGGAAGGAAGGGGGAGAGAGGTTCCCAGGAAGACCCAGCCATTAGGTCTGTCCTTGGGCTGCATATTTATACGGTCGAGGGGGTGCACAGATGGGCTCTCAATTGAATTCCATCTTCAACACCATCAGAGATTGATTTTGTACTCGCTTTTAATTTTGCCATAATTAATTAGATCATTACAACTGTTTGCTATTGATCTCCCTACTTAAACCTCTGGTGCAGAGGGTCTGCCCACAGCCCTAAAAACCCAGGAGGCCACCGTTTACACTTCTAAAGGCCCAGGTTCTTCCAGTCAGGGCAAGAACTGGGAGGAGAATGGGGACAGCCCAATCAAGAAGCTAGAGCAAGGGTAGTACTGGGGGGGGGGGCATGAGTTATCAGCTGAAAAAAAACAAGGAGAACTTGAGCTAGGTGAGTGGGGAGGGGAGAAATGAGATTTGGGAAAGGTGAGGAGTGAGGCTTTGACCTCTATGGAAGTATTTGGAAAACTCTGGAAACCCAACCCAGCCCTCTTCCTTCCCACCAATCCCCAACTAAACTTGGGTTCTTGGCTTGCCACCCCTACACTACACCAGGACATGTAATGGACAGTCAAAGCTGAGTTGGCAGGCCTGGGGGTGGGGGAGGGGGGAAAAATCAGCCTTCAGTCAGCACTTGAGTTGACAGTTTCAGATTCTCCTCCCTATCTGGGTCCCCTGGGGTGCCATCTTTTCCCTAGGCCTCCCTTGAACCTCTCCTGATTTGGGGGGCAGAGCCTCCCCTCCCCCCACCCCATAGGAGCATCAACACTAGTGCTCATAATCAAATATACAAGACTCTTACAGGTGCACACAGGTATGTGTACTCAGTGTTTCCTACCCACTAGCATAGGCACGGAGGCCCACACTCACATCTCCCTTCCCACTAGAAACTAAGGCCTTCCCAACACTCTCAACTTGGAGGAAGTTGGGCAAAATATATATGCTCTGAGAAAAGTTGAAAGATCAAGTCCTAAACACCCAAGAGGAAGGAAAAACCAAGTACTCCAAAGACGTATGAGAAGTTGTAAGACTAACGTTTTCTGGGTGGAAAGTTTTCATTAGAAGATTTAGAGGACACCAGGAGGGAAGGGCCTGGAAGTCCCAGGGGTGAGAAGAGTCCGCAGGGATTCTGTCCCCAGCCCTTATGGTACAGCTGGGTACCAAACACAGGAAAGAAAAAAGAGTGGGATGCGTTCTTGGTTTGGCCGCCAGAAGCCCTCTGATGCTCCCCACACCATTGCCCGAGACGCTGACCAGTCTCTCCTCGCGCTTACCTGCCCGACCCGCGTGCTGTTCCATACTCTGCTCCCGGCCGCCTGGGCCTGGCTTCCCAGCTTCTCTGCGGCGGGACAGTGCGTCTCGCCTTGGCCGCCGCCGCCCGGAGATCTGGGATCAGCCACCCAAGACCGAGCGGCTCAGATAACCCAGGCTGCCAGCCGCCTCGGCGGTGCGCTTCGCTTGCGCCCGCGCTCACACAACCCGCGGCGCAGAGGCACAGCAGCCAGCAGAGGAGCCCCTGGCTCTCCGCCTCGCGCACACGCGCGTACACGCGCGGAGGCCCCCAGCCAGCCGCAGGCACCCTTGCTGCCTGAGGCGCCTAAAGACCGAATCCCGGGTCTAGACGCCTGCACACCCTCTCACCCCACCCCCTCTTCTTCACTGTCACACGCTCCCCTTCAGTGTACAGCCTCCAGCTCAGGGGCGTCCTCGCTCCCCAACTTTGTGTGGTAACCCTTCCCCAGGACTCTCGGCACTCTCCCCATCCTACTCTCTGGACCATCAGGCTCCACTGCCTGTCACGCGCCTTCAGGTCTCAAGCTCAGTCTCCAAGATACAGTAGTGCTCCAACTTTCACAGGCCATGCAGTCGTTCCCAGAGGTCCCTGTCTCCAATATATTCATTGTGAGCTGCTCACGAAATCCTTCATAAGCTTTCCCACTCTGGATCACTTTTCTTCTTATTTTTTAAAACAATCAAACGAAAAGAAAAAGTACTGGCTTCCTTGCGTCTGAAGAGATGAGGAGGACCAGGGAAAGGGGAGGAAAGTCCCATCCCTCTCACACTCATTTAGACTGCCACTTGAACATGCCCTTCTACAATATTCTGGAATCCCTTACCCTAAGACTCTGGGGCCCTTGGACTCACACCCACTTTGAGCACACTGATGTTTTAATCCCTTATCAAAGGTCCAACCCTATTCCCTACACCAAACCCTCCCAATCTGAAATTTATAACTCTTACACCTTGGTCTAATTCTCCTTCAGACCTTCCATACTCCACTTTTTTTGATGGGTACCAGCTTGTAGTCCTTCCTACTTTTTACACACACATACCCCCCTCATGAGCACTAGTGTTTCCATACCTATCCTCTCCATGGTCTCCCTATTCATTTGCTCCACTTTATTCTGCCACCCTCTCTGAGAGGTTGTCAACTCTGAGAGGTTGTCAAGGAAAATGTGGGGTAAGCCCATGTGCAGATAGAGGCTTGTGGCTGGCTTTAGCGCTCTCTCTCTCTCTCTCTCTCTCTCTCTCTCTCTTCCTTTCTTTCTACACACACACACACACACACACACACACACACACACACTGGCCCAGAAGACAGGTTCTAAGGCAAGGGGTGGAGCTCAGGTTCACAGGGCTCACAGGCCCATTTCCCTCAGGAACTGGAAGTTGTATCCTGGAACTTCAACTGATCTTCTTCTAGAAAGATTATGCATCTACTGTCAGGAAGCTCCAAGGCAAAACTTGTATCATGGTTCCTTGACTTAAGTTTTAAAAAAACCTTCCTACAGGAACATGACTTTCTGCCATTTCAGACAAATCCAATCATGGCCAATTGTCATCTGACCAATTTTGTTTTTTAACAGTGCTGGGGATTGAAGCCAGGGCCTCAAGAATGCTAGACAAGTGCTCCGCCACTGAGCTACACTCTCAGTCCCATCTTACCAGTGTTTTAAAATTTTAAATGTTAGACCTCGGTGTTTATTTTCTCTTTTTTTATTGGTGATTTCCCAACCCAAGTGCATAAAAACAAAACTATTTTTTCTTTTTGTTATAACTGAACATTTCCAAGGGCAAGAGAACAGCATTAATAAATGAAACTTTAAGCACACACATATATAATTATCCATTATATACACATGAGAGGATCACACATAATTAGTGTCTCATTGTCACCTATTCAGAACCACACCCAGTCCCACACAAGGGATGTGACCTGCGCACACCTCCGCACAGCTCTTTTTGCCTTTGTTTCTTCTTCTCTAAAATAATGATAATAATTTCCCTTTCCCTTTTCAAAAGTTTCTTGGGAGAAAATGTGCATGCACCTGATTCATAAGGTATGAATCAGGTGCCTGTACATATGTAAGGTATGACCATACTTATGTATGCTCTTGACAGAGAGCTCTTGACAGAGACAGAAACTGAGACCCAATGTCCTTGACTTGACACATAGGGAGGTACCTACTTGGGAACCAGGTGTTTTTAACTGGGGACACACACACTCAGCTTAGTGCCTCCTGCTTGCTGCTGAGCTGTCTGGTCACAGTTACCTGAACACAGGGCCCAGGGTTGGGTCAGTGCCAGGACCAGGGCCTGGGCCCAGGGGAAGGCAGCTGAGGCCATTGTGCTAAGCAGCCTGTGGCATACTGGAGGGGCTATGAGGAGGAAGGAAACTTCTTTGCTCTTGGATCTGATATTCTTTCTCCAAAGCCAACAAAGTGATGCTACAATGTTGAGCCCTGTATCTCAAGCCCCTCCAGCCTCCTCCCTCTGGCTGTGCTTCTCTTTGTCTCCTAGCCCTTACCCCTGTCCCACACTGTCTCTGGAGCCCTTTTGCTCATTGCCCACCCCATTGATTGAAAGTCTCTCTCAGGTTCTCCAAGGAATCCCAGGAAAAATGATCCGCCAGCCTATTGATTCTTCATTAGAATTACATTTTCACGTGTGCTAAATTGGTTTTAAAAGCTTTTTCTGTTGTTATTGTCTTGTCAGACCCTGCGGTCCAGGGCAAACCAAGTTTAAACGTTGTGGCTTCTTAGGGGGAAAAAATCACCAGGGCTGGGTCTGTGATTACCTACTTTTCTGCCTTATTGTTGTCATGATGACAATTGTGATTTGGTTTAAGTATCTTTAAGAAAAGGGCCCTGTAGGAGACTACTTAGGTCAGGCTGGAGCTGGCTAGTGAGGAATCTGAAACCCCTGGAGGAAAGACACCAGAGCAATTTTTCTTTTACTGAAATTAAACTTAGCACTTGAACTTGTTTCAATTGCTTCTGGGACAAGAGGAAAGGCAAAAGTTTAAGAAATCATTTTTATTTCCTTATTCCCCTTCCAGAAAGAATAGAGAATAGAAAACACAGCCCCACTTATTCTAGCTCTCTTCCTGCTCCCTTAAGTAGCTGGTGTGTGTATTTTGTGTGTGTGTGTGTGTGTGTGTTTTCTACCAGGTGCAAGGGAGTGGCCACATCTCCTGCTTTTAGCAGGGCAGAAGCCCAGTTACTAGGATACTGGTAAACATTATACTCTGCACTGGCCAGGGAGGAGAGAATCCAAATAAGGAGGAAGAAGAGGGAAGAGAGAGGCAGAGATGGGTAGAGTAAGGAAAAGAGAGACCCAGAAATGCATGGATTCTAGCCCCAGACTGAGGGGTGGGGAGATACGAAAGAGGGAGAGAGAATCAGGGACAGTCTGATGGACAGAGGCAGAGAAGCAAAGGACAGAAGAGGACAGGAAAGAAAGGAAGGGAAGGAGGGGCAAAGGGAAAAGGAAGGAAGATGACATCAGAAGAAAAAAGGGGGAAAGGAGAGACCAAGGAAAGGAAATGCACAGAGGGAGGGAAAGAGAAAGGAGAATAAGAAAGGGAAAGAGGAGGCAGAGGAACAAACCCCAGGGAGCTCCTAGCCTCTGCAGCCTGCCCTGCCCCCAGTCCCCTCCTCCCTCTGGCTTGGCAGCAGGCAGGCCCTGCCGGAGAGTGGGCATTGGTGGCGTCGGAGCTGAGGCAGGAGAGCCGAATGTCTCCGTGATGTGTTTATCCCCTAATCAGTTCATTAGTTATAAACAACATGACATTAGAAGTTAGGAGGCAGTTGATATTAATTTTTATTTAACTAGTTGATGTTTAATCCGTCACGCCAGGCTGGGTAGCAGCGAGAAAGATCTTCCTGACACAAAACCAGTTAGAACTTCATAAGGCGCAATCAGTGTCCGCGCATTGAAACAAACAAGAGAGACAGAGACTGAGAGACACAGAGAGACTGAGGCAGCCCCGCCAGAGATAGAGACAGAATGGTGGGGAGAGACGTAACCCAGGGAGAAGGCTGGGGGAACATCAGCTAAGAAAGACTGAGAGCCCCGAGATGATGGCTTGGCAAGGGACTGGCAGCCCTGTATCCCCGCTCCAAATCCAGCAGGGTCCTCGACGTAACATTCGGGGGAGGTCAGCTGGCCCCTGGGAAGGCCCGGGAGGGGCAGCGGAGAGGTGAGGCCAGGGCCCCATCGAGGCCGCTCCAACTACCCGAGCCTTTGAGCGAAGAAGGCGTCCAGTGTGCGGCGGCCTGGCGGGTGGCCAGGGGCTAATGTACCGGCAAAAGGAGGCTCCAGCCCTCTCCCGGGTCTTGAAGCTGAGAACCTCCTCCCTCTCTGCTTCAGAAAGAGCAGGCCTGGCAAGAGAGGAACAGAAAGGAGTTTGTGTCCAGCCGCTCAAGTTGGACAAAGTTTGAATCAGCGGTCAGACTGATCCAATACACTCAGAACAGGGTGTCTGTGCGTGCGTGGGCTCCAGGGTGCTGGCAGTGGGCAAGAGGAAATGGAGAGTTTGGGGGTTCTACAGGTCAGAGAGGGCTTTTCCTTGAGTTTGTCTATGGCTTCACGAGCGTCCCTCCGTGCGAGGCTTGGCGCAGGCTGTTGGCTGTGTGCTCCCGGTGTGGCCGTACTGGCCCCAAGCCTGAAGTCTCCGGCTTGCATGGGCTAAGCACCCCCTCCCCATTCACTCCGCCCCTGACCAGGAGCGTTCGGCTTTTTCCACCTTCCTCCGGGCACTGGCCGGGCAAAGGCTTGGTCACGGCTTCCTGGGCAAGCAGGGGTGGGGGGGCCGGCTGTAGTTTTCCGCTGTCGCGCAGGACACTGTTTGGCGGGGCAGAGGCATCCTTGCCTGCGCGCAGACTCAAGCCGAACGTCTCACCGTTTGCATGTTAATCTGCCTCCACCACGAAAAGGAAATCGCTGAAATTCCGAAGAAAATTGCCTCTTGCCAGCGGTTAATAGTTAACTCGGACAGGAAAGTTCCCAGGGATGGGCGAAAGCCAGGATGAGAGGCGCAGGGGAGGCGCCCAAGGAGGCGCCCAAAGAGGGCCGCGGCCGTCTGGGCCTCTTCTCCAGCGGGTCGCGCTCCGCACCGCGCGCCTCCCCTCCTCTGGCGGCGGGTCCCTCACCCGTAATTAGCATCGTTTAGTTCACAAAACCTTTCCTGGGAGAAATCTGTTCCCTCATTCCCGGGCTCGGCTCAGCACCTGATTCCGCCGGGTGAGGGGAATAAATCACCACCGCGGCGGGGGAGCCGGACTCAAGCCCGCAGACCGCGGTCGCCAGAGAGGAACAAGTGAGAAAGAGGCGGAGGAGCTAGGAAGACGGTGTAACCTAGCCCAGGGAAAGTGAGGGGCCGCGAAGGGTGACCCAAAGACAGAGAGGGACTCAGAGGCGGAGAAGAAGCCAAAATAGAACAGGGATAGATACCGGAAGAGAGAAGAGGCAGGAAAAGACCGAGAAAGAAAAGCGAAAAGAAAAACGAGGAAAGAGAAGTTAGAGAAGAGTGAGGAGGGGGTTTAGGGAGGAGGAGGCAAGAGAATAAAGAAAAATAAAGAAAACCCAAAGAGCCAATGCTTTTGTTTAACTACAAAAACTCCAGCTCAGGCTCTGCAGTGAGAGCGCGCCCCGCGGCGGCGAGGGTCCGCACTGTGGCCTGAGGCCCCGAGGCCCGGCGGGAGCTCCGGCAGCGCGCTCGGGCTCGGAGGCGGGGTCCCACCCAGAACTGAACTCCCCTCCCGAGTTGAAGTTCCGGGGCGCTGGGCGCAAAGGGGCATCTGTGGGGGAAGCGGTGGTGTCTGTGTGGGGGATGCCATTCCGGGGCCCACGGCGGGCGGAGGGGACGGGTAAATAAAAGGCTCCGGGGACTTTCGGCCCCGCTGTGAAGCGGGCGGGGTCCGGGGTTAGGCGGGCGGCGGCAGCGCACTGTAGACCCCCTACGTCCCAGCAGCAGAACTCCCACCCCTGCAGCAGGCCCTGGGAGAAGTTCTAACCTGAGCATCTCCAGCGCCCGAGGCGGCGTACCGGGCCACAACTGTGAGAAAAAAACTAACGCGGCGAGAACCGCGACCCGGCGCCAGCGGAGGGCGCATTTCCTGAGCCGCTTCGGCGCGACAGCGGAGAGACGCGGCGCAGATTCCACCTGCTCTCGGGCCTGGTCCAGCACTGTCCAGGCCAAAGGGAGGGAGGAGGAAAGGAAAAGAGAAAGAAGCAGGGACGGGGCGGTGTGGTGCGGAGGAGGAGAGGAATGAAGAGTGGAAATGCGGGCTGGAGGGGAAGGAAGGCAGGCGTGGGGCGATAGGCAGCATCTCCCCTCGGCTCTTCTCGTGGACAGAGTGGGAGTGCCGGTTCCCCTGGCCTCAAGATTGAGAGCCCCTCTGCTTTGGCTCCCATAGGGCGCCACACTGAAGACTGAGACCTCAGCGGGGTTGCTGGAGGCCTCCACCAGCGCGTGGGACCAAGAGTAAAGAGAGAAGGAATTCCCTACCGGCCAGGCAGTCCTTGGGATGACAAACGCCCCCAAATTTTTCAGCCTTTGCTACTTCTTGGTGGATATGGTCCAACCCACTCTGTTCCTCCTCCCTTTTCCTGCCCCTCCCTAGTCGGAGTCAGCACAGAGTTGGAGTGGGAAAATTAGTTTTCCTTGAAAGAGATGGGCGGCTTAGTCAATACCTACTTATGCCCAGAGGCAGAGCTGCAACTGATGCCTAAAGCAGAATTTTTTTTAGGCTGGGGAGAATAGGGAGGCAGAGTCTGAGCTGGACCAATTCAGACAGGCAGGGCACCAGTTAGTTGGTAAACCTGGATCTATGTTGTACTGAGCACTGTGGTTTTAGAGGTAAATTCCACACTGACCCTGTTTGCAATGACATTACCTGGTGGCAAAGAGAAATTCTAGGAAGTGTCAAGATGTGAATCCTAAGGGTGACTGAGATACAGTGAAAGACAATTGGGGGATGTCAGGGAGCACTTGAAACAGGGGGGACTTGCAAATTACTAAATGTACCATAAATGCAGGGGACAAGTAAGTGACATTTTTTTGCAGACAAAAGGAGCATCAAGAGAAAAGTTATGGAGCTGGGCGCCATGGCGCATGCCTGTAATCCCAGCAGCTCTGGAGGCTGAGGCGGGAGGATCCTGAGTTCAAAGCCAGCCTCAGTAAAAGTGAGGCACTAAGCAACTCAGTGAGACCCTGTCTCTAAAAAATAGGGCTGGGCATATGGCTCAGTGGTTGAGTGCCCTTGGGTTCAATCCCCGGTACCCCCCGAGCCCCACCCAAAAGAGAAAAGGTATGGGAGCCAGGAGTAGTGGTATAGGCCTGTAATCCCAGCTACTCAGGAGGCTGATGCAGGAGCATTACAAGTTCCAGGCCAGCCAGGAGGGGCATACAGCTCAGTGGTTGAATCTCCAGGCAGTCCTGGCTGCCCCCCCCCCACACACACACACCAAGAAGAAATAGAGAGAGGAAGGAGGGGTATGGAGAGGGGGCAGCAGTCCACCTAGTTGGGGAAGTTAATTTAAAGGATTCTATGAAGCTAACATGGGAATTAGGGATGAGGCAAGAGCAAAGATGGGGAGGTAGGCAAGGCCTTAGATAGAGAACTTTTGCTAAGGAGTTTCAATTTTCCCCTTTGTACCATGAGGTGCCATTGCAGGATTTTAATCAGGAGAGTAAAAGGATCCAATTAGGAAAGGAAGGGCCATTTTGGAGGTATGGACAGTGGCAACAGACATTCTGGAGGTAGAGAGAGCAACGGAGATTGGGTAAGAGGTTTCTGCAAGCAAAGATGTGGTCTTAAAGCAAGACAGTCAGAGAGGAGAGGTTAAATGTGAGAGATGGAGGCAGGATGATTTGATTTAATATGTATGGGAAGAGATGCTGAGTTAAGGTCCACTTAGGTTTCCACTTACTCTCACCTCTGATCTCTCCCTTGCACTCTCCACCCATCCCTTTGCAAACCCTTCTCTGCAGTGGCTAGGAAATGAAAACCCATGTATCATATCTGGGGCAACAGCTCTCTGCCAACTCATGGACCCTTTATAAGGCAGTCTCACAGAACAAGAGACATTATAGAAAAGGACAACTTTTCACTAATCCCAAGACATCAGAGAAAGCAGCACCGACAGAGGAAAATGGAGCCAGTTTAGTTCTGAGGTGGACTCAGAACTACTCAGGTCAGAAACATCAGTTATTGATATATTGATATCAAGGGATTGGGTGAATCCCTTGGACACACTGTGCCTAAGTATTCACATCTGTTAAATAGAAACAAGAACTTCTGTCTTAAAGGATTATTGGGTGGGTTAAATAAGTTAGTATATCCCTGGCACAAGGATGTTTGGCCAGGTTAGTTTATTTCCTATCCACCTCTACCCATAGACTTAAAAAATTTTTTTTTTAAAGTACTGGGGATAGAACTCAGGGCCACTCTACCACTGAGCTATGTCCTTACATCAGTTCCTTCCTCTCTGTTTTGAGACACTGTCTTGCTAAATTGCAGAGTCTGGCCTTGAATTTGTGAAGTTCCTGCCCCAGCCTCCAAAATAGCTGGGATTACAGGCCTGTGCCACTGCACCTGGCCTAGCCATGGACTTCATGAAAGGGGTGGGCACTGTCCCCTGTGCAAGCACAAGGTGTCAGGGGCATAAACAGCAGGAATATGGAAATGCTCTGGATAAGTTATCAATCTAGAGAGAAAGCCTTGTGACTTGCTGGGGCAAGGATAGTGATGATAATAGCAAACAACCTGCAGGCCTAAGGGTTCATGGCATGCCAGGTGTTTTTATGACTGCTTTATATTCAGTACTTCCTTTTTAGTACTTCATCTACTAGTATGAATCCCATTTACAGATGAGGAAATCTAGGCACAAAGAGTTTTAATAACTCTTCCTCAATCACACAGTGAGCTGGTGGTAAAAGTAGGCTCCACACTTGGTGTGGTTGGATACTGCCTTCATAATCTACACACTTAAGTATATGCTATGCTAGAAATTTCTGGTCCTCAAAAGGAAGTCAGGAGGAAAGAAACCATTCTGATTGTGGCTCAGAGGCCTCTTTAAGAGTTTTCATTTGGTGAAACCCAGGAGTTCTCCTCCCCTCTCCCTTCCAGATCCTCATATTAATCCCCTTTCACCACCTCTCTGCTCTTTTTATTCTCTGCCACTGTCTGGCTGCAGCAAACTAACCAGGGGGGTGACGAACAACTTCTGTACGTTGATACAGCAGGAGTGAGAGCCCTTTATTTCAGGACAGGAGCAGTATTTATACATTCCACACAGCTTATCTAATTAACATAAACTAGATACATCAGTCAACCAATCAGGAATCTCCACACTTAATGGCTTGCTTTTGTTACTTCTCAAACCACTCCCTCTGGCATTTTGCCAGGCACCATCCAGACTTGTTTACGAACTCTAACATTCCCCTGGCAAAATGCCAGGTGTTATTTTGACTTGTTTACAGACTCTAACAATTCTCTGCCCACTGTCCCTAAATCTGGGAATTCAGAGGTGGCTCCTGTGGTCAGGCCAGACAGGATGGCCAGGCTGCTGCATCACCCAGCCCTCACCTAGTTGTTCAGGAAGCTTGTAGCCCATGCCCCAAGAGCTGTTCTTTGTGATGGGAGAGAAATTTCCCCAGCCAGTCTTTGTCCATCTCTGAGGTACCCTCAGGCTCTGCCAGATTCCAGGCTTGCAGCCTCAATATGCAGGAGAATTCCCTTCTTATCCCATTTCAGCTGGGCTCAGCCTCTGATTGGGCTTTCATGGGTTTTGATCCACAACACCAGCCACAGAGAAGAATCCCTGGACTGATTCTGACACCCCACATGCAGACCTGACTTGGGTTGCCCCATGCTGATCCCTCGTGAGACTGCCAGATTCCCCTGGGCACTGCAGAGGAGGACAGAAAGGCCTGTCAGGAGCCTGTCCTTTCTATGGGCTCCATGTGTCCACACAACAGGTGCTGTGGCTGTCCTAAGAACTGACCTCTCTGAAGCCAGAGGGCTTCTCTCCCCATTTGCTACCATGTCTTAGAACTTTGTGTGTGTGTGTTGCTAGGGATTGAACCCATGGCTTTGTGCATGCAAGGCAAGCACTCTACCAACTGAACTACATACTCTGCCCACAGGGGCCTCCTTTCTCAAGGACCAAAGAAGTCTTTTTTGCCCTAGGCAGAAGTGGTCTTTGCCAAAAGACAAAAGTTGGAGAAGCTCTGGAATGACCAGGTCTGTGGAGACCACCCCTGACTTCCTGCAGAATGAGCAGCAATGAATATATGTGTTGGGCGGGGCGAGGCTAGCCCAATGTTTTGGGAGGAATTTATTACTTTAGCCATTTCTCAGTCAAATATACAGAACAGCCTCTTCCAAATGACCTTTGAGCTCTTTAAAATAGTCATCTTAGCTGTAGCTGAGCAGATATTATTCTTAACATGCCAGTATCATGGGGCAAAACCACTTGTGCACTTCTCTTAGGGGTGTGCCTTCCAAGCTTGCAGCCCAGTCTTTTGACAGTCTTCCTCTAAGCTGCACAAGGTGTTAGGCAATAGGTCAAATCATTCAGAGAAGATTTTGGGGATGAAGATGACAGGATAGATGTAAATTAGCTGTAGGAGATTTCTCTCTTGCTGCCCTCTACCCAGCTCTTTCTGCCAAGGAAAAGTGTGTATTTAGGATGAAGGTGTGTGGGCCTAACATTCCAGAAGTAAGTATATCCCCTCCCACTGGCAAGTTGCTTCTCTAAATCTTAGTTTCCTCATCTGAAAAGTGGGAAGCCTCATCTCTTCTGCGTGGGGGAAATTAAAGCCTTCAAGTGCCTAGCCCAGTGCCTGGCACGCAATAGAGCCCCCATAAATATTGTCATGATCATATGTCTTTTGAGGAGACTGCCCTGCATCAGTCACAGGCTCAGATACCTGGGCACTACTAAACACCTAAGTGAGCCGGGAGGTTCCTCAGGCAGAGCCTTGCGATAGGCCCGAGGCCACACGGATCCACTGGCCTCCAGGCTTCACAAATTGAAGGCCAGGCTGTAAGCCCGAAGCCCAGCGGACTAGAACTGAAGGTGGGACGTCGGGGTCAGCGGCGGGCGGGGGTGAGGGCTGCCGGGTGTGCGCAGGATGCTGTCGACCCTGGCACGCGTGGAAAGCGGGCCTGGCCACCGCCGCCAGGGAGCCCGCCGGGCTTGAAGTTGCCCTCGGGCCGGGCCCGTCCTCTGCGCTCTTAGCGCAGCTCACCAGCGGCCCGGGCTGCCCCGCCCGCCGAGCGCTGGCGCTCGATTAATAATCATAAACCCCCCGCTCACCCTCCTCTTAAAATTAATAACTCTGTAATTAGAGTCATTTCAGAAGCCTCCTGAGCCGCCGAGGCCGGCAGGGCCGCCGTCCGCCCGGCACCGTGGGCAGGAGGGAGGAGGCCGGGCGCGGCGGCCGCGGCATCTGCAGGTACAGAATGAGAATTAAAATCGCTCTCAACAATCCAATACACTTTTTATCAGCC